CAATAAATTGAAGAATTGCCTCCATTGGATTAGCCTGTGGGGTATTTTCTTGATATGGGAGGGCCTCTACCCCTCTGGGCAGTGCTACACCTGTGCAGGTGGTCTTGGGCTGTATAAAAACCAAGCCACCTTTTTCCACAGTGTTCCCTGACCCCCGAGGGGTCTGTTGGAGACATCCCATTTAGGGCTGAGTATTTCAATACTCTCACTCTCTGCATATTGTCTGGCAGTGTATTTATTCTCATCTGCTGCAGGAGGAAGTTTCTCTAATGATGGTTTATGCTGATATATTATTTAATAAATATTGCCTGAAGTATCAGAAAGTAAAGCCAGCCTCACTAGTTAGATATAGAAGCTAGGCAGTGGTGGCACACATCTTTAATCACAGGACTCAGGAGACAGGCAGGTGGATCTCTCTGAGTTCAAGGCCACCCTAGCCTTTACAAAAGTGAAGAGTAACAGAGCTCACACCTTTGATATCAGCACTTGGGATCACATGCCTTTAATCATAGCACTAGGGAGATGGAGACAGAAGCATATGGCTGGGCAGAGAAAGGAATATAAGGAAGAGGAGACAGGAATTCAGAACATCTTGCATCCGAGGATTCATGGAGACAGGATTGCCATCTCAGCTGGGTAGAGATAAGAGCTACTGGCTTGGCTCCTTTGCTTTTCTTATCTTTAGTTTGAAGCTTGAACCCCAACATCAGTCTCTGGGGTTATATTTTTTCATGTTACAGTGGTTGAGCAAGATCCTTATCTATGAGTATAGTAGAATGTCATTAAGAATCATTTTATTGCTAAGTTCCTTTATCATAACAATAGTATTTGGTTTTACTCTATGTCTCTGGGGTATCTAATCTCAGGTTCTTGTTCATCCAAGCAACATCAGGTCAGTGTTTTATCACAGTAACAGAAACAAACTAATACAATGTTTTGGAAGGATTGTAAAATAAATGAATTACTGTGAAATTTAGTTTGCATTTTATTATGATTTTTTTCATTATAATCTTAGCATTCAAGTCAACATAAAGCTGATTTTTGTGGTGTTTTATTTTTGTTTGTGTTGTGCATGTAAGTGATATATATTACCTTCTTGTATGTACAGTAGATCACTTTTAGTATCTTAGAATTCTGAACACAAGTTGTTAGGAACTCAATTATTTCTGTTTTTTTTTTAAATATAGTCTTAACATGTATCCCAGTTTGGCCTTGAACTAATGATCCTCCTTTGCTAGTCTCCTAAGTCCTAGGACTAGACACGACTAGTACTACCCCACTCAGTTTTGTTTTGGATTTTATGTTTTGTTCATGCTAGTTCAGTACCTAGTATATACTAGCACAGAGATTCAAAACCTAGATTTCTCATCTGAATCTATTAAATCACCATACAAGGAAAGTAAGGTTTTATTTTAGATGATTTGAATTATGTGTTTTTACTCAGATGCAATCTCTTAACTGGTCATAATTGCACTCCTTGTAGAAACTGTGTTCTGTATCTGTTCCAGACTGTTACCTTCATTATTCTGTGTCTCCCTCAGTGCCCACCTGAATGTCCATACATGCTCACTGCTCACACCCCAGAACCCACCTGAATGTCCATACATGCTCACTGCTCACACCCCAGAACCCACCTGAATGTCCATACATACTCACTGCTCACATACCCCAGAACCCACCTGAATGTCCATACATACTCACTGCTCACACACCAGAACCCACCTGAATGTCTATACATGCTCACACACATACACTCTGGAACATATGCATTTTCTCCATGTAGCTTTTCAATTAGATGCTGCTTAGCATGAGTCTGAGCCATCCTCTATGAAGTGCCGCATCCCTTTTCCAATTGTAATTTCTCTAGGTCTTTATTTCTTCATAGATTCCTAGTACCAGTGTGCTTGGTGAACTATCATTTGCAAGTCTGCTGTCCTGACATAGATTCTTTGTGGCCTGGCTCAGTTCAGACCAGTCTCAGTGTTCTGAGAGCATGAACTCAATTTTACTTGTTCTGGACCATATTTTTTTGGTTTGCTTCATTATTTCATTTAAAAATTTAAAATTACATTTGTTTATTTATTTACTTCACGTGGTGTATGGAGACATATGTCATGCATGATTGGAGGTGAAACATCTCCACAAATTTTCTCCTTCTGCTGTGTGGATCATACTCAGATCATCAGGCTCTGAAGTGTCATTCTGCCTGCCGAGTCACCTGGCTGGTTCCTGTTGCTGTCCTTGGACTGTCCTGTAGTTGACTCAAGCTTTGTACCATTTTTTAATGTCTGACATTGTCCTTCATTATTCTTTGCAGTCTTGAAAGGGCAACCTTGCCCATCCTTTCTCCATACAGTTGTCCTCTGTCCTTCTACCCACACAAGAGTTTTCATTAATCATTTATTGAAACATTTTTGGAGAAAACATAATTGTCCCTTTCAAGGAATTTGTTGTTCTTTGCCTATTTGTTGTCTTTTTGCCTTGCTAGTAATATTTTAAAGTTATTTTGTGTAGATTTTGCATTCATATGAATTTTTAAAGCCCTTTCCTTTTACAAAAGAGATCTTTTATTTTTATTATATTATACTGCTGTGTAGTTGTTTGTATGGTAAATACATGATGGTTACTAATTTTATCTTTCAATTTTTGTTCTAATTATTCAAGAATTTGTTTTTTAGTTTTAATAACAATTTTGAATTATTGAAATAGTTGACTATATTGGCTTTTCTTGATAAACTATTATGTCACTTCACGTAACAATGACTTCAGTGTGCCTGGGAAATGGCTAAGTGTTTAAAGCGTTTACTAACTGTTAACATGAGGACCCAAGTTTGGATCCCCAGAACCCAAACCAGATATGTGTAGCAGCCTGCCAGTGAGCCCATTATCCCAAAGGCTAAATTGAGGCTCCACAATGCAAGCTGGCCAGCTATACTAGCTATGCCTATGAGCTCTGGCTTCAGCTGAGAGACCCTGCTTCAAGATGTCAGCCTTGGACTTACATATGTGTTCACACATGTGTGCACTCATACACATGTGAATGCACATATCCCTTTGCAGATACTACACATACACACACCTGAGAAAATGGTAACTCCATACTCCATCACCCTCTCTTTTTCTCATTATATGCCTTCTCTCTCTCTCTCTCTCTCTCTCTCTCTCTCTCTCTCTCTCTCTCTGCTTCTTTCTTCCCTTTGAGGCAGAGTCTCCTGTGGTTTTCCTAGTTTTTATATTAGCTGTTCTGAAAGTCAAGGTGAAATACTAGTTGATGTAATCGATAGTGTTTGCTTCTCCTGTTACCCAGATTAGTTACTCATTTTATGGACCATATTTTGACTGTTCATTTGTGTATTGATGATATGAGGGAAGTATCACTGTGTCTAGTTTGCAGTTAATACCTGCTTAAGACCAAAAAAATTTGGAAAAATAGGCCCTGTAGTATCTTTCTGTACATTTTATTTGTGCTTACACCATATTTTGATCAAACAGGGAAAAATAAATGTTCTACTGTTCTGTTTTTTGAAATTCTGACTGGATACAGATTACACATGGAAAATTGTTTATAGCTTTATTCTATGTAATGGATTCTCTGTTGGACTCATAGAAAGGAAGAAATGATAATTGCTTTGTGTAGTTCACAGAATGAAAGTGCAAAGTGAGGTGTTTTGCATTCAGTTTGTACTGTAACCATTTCTAGAAACCCACATTTACACAGCAGTGGTTATCATCCAATATGCAGTGTGTCAGCTATGTTCTAGTTCACATCAGTGAGCCTTCCACTACTCTATTCCCTATAACCTAGGGTCATCTGAGAGGAGGGAGCACAATTGAGAAATAAGATCTGGCTGGGGTCAAACCTGTAGGGCATCTTCTTAATTGATGGGAGAGTATGTCTTAGTTACCGCTCTATTTCTGTGAAGAGACACTATGACAGAGGCATAAACACTTAAAAAAAAGAATTTGATTAGTGGCTTGCTTACAGTTTTAGAGGGTTAGTCCATGATCATCATGGCAGGAAACCGACAGACATGGTATTGGAGCACTGAGAGCTTTACATCCTGGTCTGCAGGCACAGGGAGGGAGGGAGCGAGGGAGGGAGAGATGGGGGGACGGAAGGGACTGGGTCTGGCTTGGGATTTTGAAACTTCAAAGCCCACCCCAGTAACACACCTTCTCCAACAAGCCCATGCCTCCTAATCCATCCCCAATAGCACTAAATGGTACTAAATGGGTACCAAGCATTCAAACATTTGCACTTTCAATGTAGGTTTTTCTTCTTCTTGTTCACTCTCAGTTTTTGAGGTGTTGTCTTGCTATGTAGCACAGGTTGGCCTCAAACTTGTAATCTACGTTTCTCAGTGTAATTGCTAGGATTATGGGCATACACTACTATGTCTGGCTTTGATGTTATTTTTATTATGTGTACTCTAAATAGAAGTACTCTAATAGAAGTATATGTTGCAGCTTTTTCTTACAAATTTCAGGATTAGTTACTTTATACATTAGATGAGAACATTCTGACCTTCCAAATTGCACATACTTACAGTTTACATTAAATTTCCCACTTTCAAAATTACCTGAAGATTTAAAATATGAGATGATCCTAACTGAGGAAAAAGGATTATGCAGTCTAGGCTACAAAGACAAAGTGTGTCTCAAACATACATAACAGGCACATGCACCAGCAAATACTGTTGGCCAATTAAGGAGCAAAGATTAGTCCGGCAAGTTTACAGGTAATCTGTAGGTTTAAGATTTTGTTTGGTGATATTTGTGCTATAACAATAACAGGTAGAAGCTATTAGCTGAGCCAGATGACACATAAATACTGTCATTTGAAGCAGGCAAATAATAAATTTTGAGATATGGGCATCCACAAAGTAGAGTGGCAAATCAAGGTATGAAGTTATTCTCTTTCTCTTGTAGGTGCTAGGAAACTTTCATGAAATAGGTAGGGTTTGGGTAGAGCTTAATTTATGGCTTTCATTCATTCTAGACTGTTCTGAAGATCGATGTCTGTTTCCTTGAGCTATTTACTTTTCTTATCAATTTGGATAAGCATGGCACAAGCCCAGCAGGGAGGTCCAGATGAAAAAGAAAAGACTACAGCACTGAAAGGTACATACTTAAATTACCTTTTCAGGAAAATTTCACCATGCACAGTGAAAAGGTAGAAATACTTAGGTATTCTTTGTTCATTTCAGTCGTAAAATAAGAATGCCAGTGCTTAAGCTATTTGCATGTATTTATATTGCTCACAGCAACCATTCCAATGCCTGAAATGAATCATAGACTCAAGAATTCACAGAGGAAAGGATTCTCAATGCTCTTCTGCTCAAGGTCATCATTTAATGGCAAAAAAAAAAAAAAAAAAAAAAAAAAAAAAAAAAACCCTTTCAAACCCTTTCAATCAAGATTAGTGTCTTTACCACATTTTGCCAAATTGACTGTCACATATTCTGGCCTTCCTGTCTTCTGCCATTATGTTAACTTGGACTGGGGATATTTTGTGCAAGCCCTTCTATATTAATACCTCAGAAGGAATTTGTCTTCATGCAAGGGAATTATGATTTCTAGATGTTTTGTGTTTCTTTTCTGCTATCTAATATAATTTTATCTCTAGAGGAAATTAGTACCCAGATTTTAACTGGGTAATTAAAATGCATCAATAATTTGTACTTGTGTTGTTATACTTAAAATTTGAAATGTCATCCACAGCCTGTGTTGCTGTTCTGAAGACTCTGGAGCTTTAGGAGGCAGGCTTTTCTGTGGAAGCAGATCACTAAGGATGGTCTTAAGGGCAGTTCCTGTTTCTGGTTATGACATACTCTCTTAGTTCTCTGCTCTGCTGCTCTGTGGCTAGCCCACTGTCATTGTGGACTGAGCATTCCTCTGTGCCTTCCCCACTGTGATGGGCTGACATTTCCTAAGACTGTGAGCTGAAGCATACCTTCCTTCCTGAGGTTTCTGCCATGTATATGGTCATAGCAATGTGTGCAGCAGCTATCTTGGCCTCTCTTTTTCAAAGTCATTCTCGGGCAGATGTGGAACAAAGCAGCATGTTTTCAAGTTCACTGTATATCATCTTGATCTTTCCTTTAGAGGTGCTGTTCAAAGGAATAGTGGAACTAGCGCTTACCTGCTGAAAACAAAGTGACCAAGGTGATTGTTGGTTTTGAGTTTCACAGTCTTCTCACAGCCAGAAAGTGGTTGATAGCTTGAGTTAGGTTTGTAACAAGGGGTGAATATACAATTACTACACTAGTGTTAAGAGATAACGTCGTTTGCTGACATACAGAGAAAATCATTCATGTAGAAATAGTATTTAATGTTGTAGTCCTCATTGAAATCACCTAGACTAACAGTGGGCCTACAAAAGAGAGGTCTTATTTACTCTGGGCAGAAGAGGAGCACACAGAATCACACAGAAGAGGAGCAGCTAGTGACAGAGACTAGACGATCTTCCCTAGATGGTTACGCTGGCTCCATCTAAATAGATTGTGTCCCCATCTTTCTTAATGTGAAAATTTGATTACCAAAGTTGTAGCTCATAGGCAGTATATGAGCATGGGTTGACTGAGGGGAATTTTGAAGGCAGTATCATGATGTTACAGGAATAGAAATAGACCTATCTGAATTTTAATTCAGATTTCCCCTTTTGCCCAATGTAAATTTCTCAACTACTGTTTTTTGTTTTTTTATTTTTATTTTTATTTTTTATTTATTTATTTTTTTCTGAGACAGGGTTTCTCTATGCATCTTTGGAGCCTTTCCTGGAACTTGCTTCTGTAGACCAGGCTGGCATCAAACTTACATAGATTCATCTGCCTCTGCCTTCCAAGTTTTGGGATTAAAAAGTGTGCTCCACCAATGCCTGGCTTTTCAACTACTCTTATCTTTCTCCTAACAATAGGAATAATAATGCTTATTGTATGTAGAATTGTGAAGAGTAATGATGGCTTCATACTGTTGATACAGTTGACCTTAGGACAACATGGTTTTGAACCTCATAGCCCAATTTATGTGTCAGGTTTATGGCCTTTGTTTTGTTATTTAAGACAGTTTGAAAAATCTTTTCAGGATTCTTTATATGATAGAAACATTTTTTTAAAAAAAGTTTGGTATATTATAATTACATAGAATATATTTTGAAGTAATAGTCTGTTTTATTATTTCCACAAAATATATCCAAATATGTTATAAAATATTAAACTTATGCACATAATACAGGGTGTACATGTACAAGTTTGTGTGAAGAAAACTGTAAACAAATACAGACATAAAATGTTAAATCATGTCATAAAATTAACTATTGTACTACTACAGAAATTTGTTTCTACTGTTAACCACTGTGATGAATTCAATTGTTTCAAGTGTCTACTTACAATGTCACGTGACTCATCTCTGTGGTCTTTTGGGTTTCAGTATAGTTTATAAGTTTTAGGCATGATTCTTGGTGTTTCCTGAATGGTTTTCAATTTATATAATACATAGAACATGTATAATACAGGTCATTACCATGGACAGTGACACAGGGAGCAGTAGTCCAGGCAGGCTAGCCTCCATATTGCCTGCGTTTGGAACATGAAGGTTATGCAAAGAAGGTTTGAGAAATATCAAAATGGCTCAGTGTAGGAAACCCACATGCTTTAATATAAAAGAGTATCATCAAAAAGATGTATAAGAACAATGTCAGGAAGTACCTGCACAATGTAGGAAATAGAGATTGTGATGTTCCACAAATGTTACATGCACTGATGGTGTGCCAGCCCAGGACAGTAGATAAGTAGTAGGCTGTAACAATTATAGATATGGTATGCCGTCTACTACATAGGAGCCATCTATAGAATTATCAGAGTGGGAGAACTGGGAAAAGAAATGGATCCAAGAATGCTCTGGAGGCTCATTTCCAATGGTGCTTGCTCTTCAGGGTCTCAGCTTGTTCAAGTCATAATCAGTCATCTCAGCATGATTATCTTCACAGCCTCACTTTAAGCCATGTGCTTTTGTGTATGTAGTACATATGTATATTCATGTAGGTATGGAGGCCAAAGGCTGGTGTTGAGTATTTTCTGAAATTACTCTACATCTTATGTTTTTTGAGACAAGGTTCTTTGCTGAACTTGGAACTTTTGATTTAATTGGACTGGTGGCAAATAAAACTGAGCTGATGTCTCTGTCACCCAGTGCTATAGTCACAGACACATACATGTCTGTGTACCTAGTTCTTAATGTTGGTGATGGAAAACTGAACTTGGGCCCTCCTGCTGCTGCAATAAGTGCTTTAACAAGGGAACCATCTCCTCAGACCTGTTTTTCTGCAATTTTTAAAAAATAGAAAGCACTAAAACCCAATGCAGTTAGCCAATCCATCTTTTAGCCCTGATTATAATTCAGTAAATTTACCCCCTGCTTTTCCCAGTCTTATTGATGAAGGCTTTGATCTAGAAATTTTTGTCTTCCAGTAGACTTTTATCCATCTATGTATCCGTCTGTGTATGTATTATGTATGTATGTATGTATGTATGTATGTTTGTATCTATTTATATCTATCTATCATTTATAACAATTCTTTATTTTTTAAAATTCTAACATAATTACATTGGTTTTTCCCCTTTTCATTTTTTTCCCCGAACTGCTTCCAGGTATACCTCCTGTGCTTGGTCAAATTCATGACACACACAGACTCACTCTCTCTGTCTCTCTGTCTCTCTATCTCTCTGTCTCTGTCTCTGTCTCTCTCTCTCCTAAATATGTAAACACAGTCTGTTCAGTCTGTCACGTTATCTGTGTGTATGTGACACTAGGCTGATCTCTCCCACTGATATGTCCAGTACACATTCTTGCACCTAAGACTCAGGGGTCATTGCAGAAGCAGAGGCAAAAAGACTGTACAAGCCACAGGGAGTTTTCTGTAAGAGAGGCTGCATCAAGGAAGATCAGCAAAACAGCTTCCTAAACAAGACCCAAAATGAAGGACATCAAGAGATGTAATGACTTGGAAGGAGAGAAGCTCCTGGGGCCTCAACCCTAGACAAGAACTATTTCAACTGGAGAATGCCAGGAGTGGGAGAAATGGTCTTCTCCAGAGAAGCGCTCCCCACTCCCCACCCCTATGGGTTGTCCAGTAAGCTTTGTACATGAGAAGCTGCATATTATGGACCCGAGTCATGCAGATTTTGTTAGTTTAGGTTTGCAGTGTTCTCCCAAGCCCATGCATCAAAGGCTTGGTTTCCCACATTACACTGTTAGAATATGGAAAAATTAATAAGAGGCAGACCTACAGGAAGATTTTAGTCGTTGTGCCGTGTTTCCAGAAGAAGATGGTAAGACTCAAGTCTCCTCTTTGCTTCCTGCCAACCATGAGGAAGCAGCTTCTGTTTTATGCTTTTGCTGTAGTGTACCCTGGTCAACAGTCAACTGTCAACACTGTCAACTGAAACATTCAAACTATAATCTAAAATAACATTTTCCTCCTTTAAGTTATTTCAGATATTTTGTAATAGTATTGGAAACCTAACTATTGTAGCATCTTGCCCTGTGTTCATGTGCTCTAACCTGCTGGCTGTTGGTATTCTTCATGGAGCTGTGTCTATGTGATCTGTCTTTCTAGCTGTTGTTATTCCTCATGGACCTGTGTCCATGTGATCTGTCTTTCTAGCTGTTGGTATTCTTCATGGACCTGTGTCTATGTGATTTGTCTTTCTAGCTGTTGGTATTCTTTATGGAGCTGTGTCTATGTGATCTGACTTTCTAGCTGTTGGTATTCTTCATGGAGCTATGTCTATGTGATCTGACCTGTTAGCTGTTGGTATTCTTCATGAATAGAAAACCCTAGGTAGTTACCAGTCTGGAGTAGATAAGAAACATTCTGGAGTTGACATAAAATCTGAAGCTCAGGCTTCAGGAATTATACTGAATGATATTCAGACGTTAAGCCAGCCTTGCATTCCCGTGATAAGCTCTGTCTGGGCCTGTCTTATTATCCTTTCACACACTGCAGATTCTGTTCTGAATTTATTGATGATTTGTATAACTTTCTTCATAAGGTTGGCACTGCTTTTGATGTGTTAATATTGACTTCTTAAAATGGACTGGGAGGTGTTTTCTGTCTGATT